GAATGCCACTGGAAACTTGCTCTCAAAAATCAATGAATGCACAGCGTAATTGACACTGTTAAAAAGAAACTCACTATGTCTGTAACAGAAAAAAAAAACTCTATTTATTGCACGTATCATCGTGTTGCATAAACATAAAACAAATGGTCATGCAGCCAAAATTGTTCATTAACATCCACGACGAATCATCTCATGAATGATGAAACGCGCCAAAGGCATGCTCGAGCGAGCGAATGATTTTTTTTAATGCGAAGCATTTCTTAGTGAACTTCGGCGACTTTGAGCGTATCTATCTATCTATCTATCTATCTATCTATCTATCTATCTATCTATCTATCTATCTATCTATCTATCTATCTATCTATCTATCTATCTATCTATCTATCTATCTATCTATCTATCTATCTATCTATCTATCTATCTATCTATCTATCTATCTATCTGTCTATCTGTCTGTCTGTCTGTCTGTCTGTCTGTCTGTCTGTCTGTCTGTCTGTCTGTCTGTCTGTCTGTCTGTCTGTCTGTCTGTCTGTCTGTCTGTCTGTCTGTCTGTCTGTCTGTCTGTGAGTTTTCGTACTCCTGGCCGTTTCAATAATGGTATCAATACCAATACTCAATACCAATAATACCAATACTCAATACCAATAATACCAATACTCAATACCAATAATGGTATCAATACTTGGTATGGCATAACGTGACTGTATGACGAGTGTAAGGGAGCAGTCATAACATGAAAATCATGACATGTATGTCATGAAAGTCATGATTTAAATTTTATGTTTTGCTGCTCTCGCAGAGGTTTTGTTGACATGACACGTTGAAAAACTGGTATGGTACGAAATCACTGCATGGCTGACGCAAGCGACAGGCTTTAACTTAGATAATATGATATGCAAGTCATGTAAGTCATGAATCACGACTACACGTTACGCTCGTGAGGCGCTCGCGGCCGTTTTGCTAGCTTCACATATGCCAAATTTGGTATTACGTCACGTGAATGGATGACGAAGGTGTACGTGACTGGTGCAAACATGATAGTCATGAGATGCGTGTCATGTAACAACATGACTGCACGTCACGCCCAAGGCACCAATACACTTCGACGGGAGGCGGCGCGCGTGCGCGCCGGCGTTCGTTTCGTCGCGTCAGAACGGCGGTGCCACGTCAGGCGCCGCTCTGTCTGCCTTAAGGCGCTCAACCGGCCGCTTAGGCCTAAGTGTTGCTTAGGGCCGTTTCACACGACACAAAAAGTAGCGATTTTCAGTGCGCCAATTCGCTCGCAGCGAAACAAAGGCTTGTTCGCTCACGCCGCAGTGGTGCGCGGCGAGCTGCCAACATGCTTGAAATTTTCGTTCTGGTCCCAACGGCGGGAGCGATTTTGTGTCGGGACCCATCGAAATAGGGCCGGTCCGGCCAAGCCGTTGAAATAGCGTCAACGTGTTTGTTTTAATCATGGAAGATGCTGTGCATTTTTAAAATTAATTTACATTAAGAAGCGTTCTTAAACGTCGAAACACGCGGGCCCTTCGTTACCGTTTGTAGAAACCTAATGATAGAATAATGCTCAAATCATTACATTACGTTTGAAAAAACTCTGCGGTGTCTGCCAGAAAGAAGGGTGGCAAGAACTCGCCGCTCCAGTCGCAGAGCGAAAATCACGGACTGTTTTGCGGACCGTGGGAAACGAAACCGCCATTAGCAGCGGTTGCGAATGGAGCGAACAGAACGATTTTTTTTTTTCGCTGCAATCGCGGCGTGTGAAACAGCCTCTGGACGCATGCGTGTTTGAGCGCGTTCGGCGTCCCTCCGTCACGAAGAGAGCCAGACGCAGTGCTGTCTGGGTAACGTCATCGGCGCGAAATGCACCATAGTTTCCCACAATACTTACTACTAGAGGGAACTCTGGCGCTAGTGTCTATGGGAGCTGCAACGCACGGCGCCTCAACGAGCATGGGAATGACGTGTAGTACACACATTTGTCAAATATTCGTACTTCTGGCCTACCTTTGGCTCCCTGTGTGTTCATGTGGCTTAGAGCTTTTTTCTCACTAAACAAAAATCAGCAAATGTTCAACGATTTCGCTTCACCACCCTATTTTTTTTTTCGACTTACCTTTCCAAATCGGGTCAATAACTTCAAAAGGGTTGAATCTTTCTTTCAAAACAAAACCGAAACACAAAAGTAAACGAAGCCGCAAGTACGATTTGCCACCCGCAAGTACGAAGACTAAACAAATGTGTGTACTACCCATCATTCCCATGGTCGCCGAACGATCGCAGCGCCAGAGTGCCCTCTAGTTAATTTTGAGAAACTCTATGGCGCCGACGGACGCTGGTTGTGCCAGGCGTCAGACTATGGCGTAGTGCTCGCGCTTCGCTGTGCTTAGCGTGCACGCGCGTCAACGTTACGTCCGAATCTATTGCGCCGTTCATGATGCGCTCGTGGCCGTTTCGCTAGCTCCACATATACCTTATTTGGTATCAGGTGACGTGAATGGATGACGAACGCAAATGACACGTTCAAACATGATAACCATGACAAGAAAGCCATGTACGGCATAAGTTACCTCCGTCTGATAACGTTGTGTTAATTTTTGAAGTGACATATCAAATCCTCCTCATTTGTTCTTCGCATATCATAGATTCCCACTTTACGTGGGATCTGCCAATTCTTTTTTCCTCTCTTTTGCGTCAAAGCAAGGACTCAGCTTTTTTTTTTTTTTTTGCGAGTGAAATACGCGACGATTTCGGAACCTTAAGTTTGACACTAAAGAAGCACTGATGCAATAACCCTTTAATGCCTGAAAAATGAAAACGCCGAACAATATAATTTTTTTTTCATTTTCCAGCTTCAAATACCAACTTTTAAATGATTCCACAGTTGAAAAGTCTAAAGATTAAGTCTGTAGTTTTATGTATGTCGCGATTGGCACTGTTACCTTAAGTATGTCACTAAAAAAGGACTGATGCATTAACCCTTTAATGCCTGAATCATGAAACTACCGAGCAATATTTTTCTTTTTCAAGCTTCAAATAGCAACTTTTAAATGATTCCGCAATTAAGTTGTCTAAAATGCCACTTAATTCTATAGTTCTATGTATGTCGCCATTTCTCCATATGCCACTGAAGCGAGGACCTTACAACAACAGAAAAACGTACGTCAAACTACGTAACATGACGCGCGCCACCTCTATAGGGTGCGTTTTCACCAAATCAACTAAATTATTGAAAGTACAACTTACGTCACCCAGGCAAAAAAAAAAAGAAACGTAGTGAGAGCACAAGCTGATTTCAAGGCCGAATGCATTTCGTACAATTATTTCAGTTTTAGTCAACCTGTTTTCCCACGCGCTCGAGGAAAGAAAAAAAAAAAACGGTGGTCGATGTCAGCGAGTGCGCTAACGTCTCGCAAGCAAAGGTGAAGGAAGGAGCGAAAGAATCGGGTCATTTTCTTTCGAATAGACTCGCTTGCGACGCTGCTCTGCCTCCGTACACAAGCGTTGTTTGCCCTTGACATAAAGGTGCAACGGGAAAGCTTTCACCTCTTGAGAGAGCTCTTTTATTGATAGCTTCCGCTGCATTCGTGATTTGGTTGCACGCGTCCGACGCGAATCCTGTTTTGTCAATATTGCTTGAACTCGTATTTGCAGCTCGGCGAACTTCTGACGTGAGTTAGTACGGAGTAAGGGTCTTTGTGGCATTCAGGACATCGCCACATATGGCTTAATTGTCGTTTTTTTTTTTCGTAGTGTTGGTGTTTCGAGTCTTTGGGTGATATAGTCTAGACGCCGTGTCGTTTTAGTTGCCAGAACTGCGGGAAGGTAGCCTCGCAGTCCGACTTTATAGTTTGTGACACATCATATAACGAGCTCACTAAACATTTCTGCCTGTCTAGAAGGATTTTCCCTCCACCTCACAAAAATCTAACCCGGCCCCAAGCACTTACATTAAGGCTTTTGCAAACGCGGATGTACCCTACTTTGAAAATGTTACACATCATGTACCCTGACCTATACCCAAGTAATCTTTGTCCACGTTGTGGGGAAATAGCTTCATAGCAACACATGCTCTGGCAGTGCACCAAACTCGCTCATATATCGAACATCACCTCTGCCAGATGGGAGGCGGCAATCCGCAGCTCATCCTTGGCAGATAAGCTCTGGGCTGTCCACCAAGCCCGCAAGGCGGCTGAGGAGCTTGGCATCTCAGTCCCCACGTGGGAGCTGCCCGCAACACAGTGATCTGTGTTTTGGGGGACCAAATAAAAGCTTATCCAATCCAATCCAATCTCCAAGCTTGCATGTCCTCGTTTGGAAAATATGTCGTTACTGCATGACTGTAATTTAATATTGTCTACTCCTTTCTTTCTCTCTCGCGTCCTTCCGAAAGATTCCTATAGATGGCCCTCGAGGCTTGCGCAAAAGTGTAGTGTGCAGGGCCGCTTGGTTGGGTTCACGGTATAGTAAGCAGCGGGGCACACTCGATGGAATGAGAGGAACAAGCGCGTACGTTCGACTTAACTTTTTAATCAAAAGCAATGCATATATGCTTACAGCGCCCAGTTGTACGGCGCGCGCGCAAACGGAAATTTAAGACTCCACCCCCACCCCCCGCACTTTTTTTTCGCTCGAAAAACAAAGCAGGCCCATGGAACATGCTCCAATAGTTCAACTTATTCCAAGATACGAAATTGTCCTATCATTCTTTGCTGTGTGTGTCTTGGTTTTTGTGTGTGTGTATGTGTGTGCTGCGTACTACCATAGATCTCGTTTTAGCAGATTTCGTTATCATTTACTCGGTGTCATTTCATTTATTCGGACAACTCAGAATGGAACCCGAGAAGTGGGTGAACGTATTGTAGCTGTTTCCCGAATGTGCCTTTCTGCATTTGTATACAAGAAGTCATCTAGCTCTGCCTTGTAATCTTTTCGACACGTTATCATCCGATGGCCTTTCTCATCGCTATACCTGTCTTGTTCTTTTTTTTTATGTGCAGGCGGGCGCAGGTGGTATACGTGGCCGCTGGCAAACTGCCTCTAAAGCCGCGATGACTCGACCCACCGATCCACTGTGTTCCAGGTGCGATGACGCCGTGTATCTTCGGTGCGAGGACTAAGCAGTGCCGCCGTCTCCGCATCAAGCGAAAACTTACTACCCCGTGCCTTTGGCTTGTTTTCATGCCGTTACCAACTTGCGCCGAAAGCCTTCGACGTGCCAAACAAATGCGTTCGTGTGGCATGCACCTGATTCGACTCGATGACGCCACCTGGGAACCGATAAAGGAAGTTAGCAAGCCTTGTCCTAACGGTAGCGCCTAACAACTTTTTTTTTCCGCCAGCGAACAAGCTCGAAGCTCTCGTCGGTACACGTTTTCGAAAACGGCGACTCGCGGGCAACTCGACGACCGGATTACTCGTAGACGAGTTTGTGACTGGTAGACGTAACGCTGTCTTTCTCTCTTCTTGCTGCACTTGGTGTATTTCTTTTTTTATTTTCAGAGTTGCTATGATATGCAAATGAGAAAGGCAGTTGAACCTGTCCCCGAACATCTGCGCATGATACGACGTATAAGGAACGCACAGGGTTATATACACGGAAGTTCGCACGTAGAGGTTATCTGGCTTCTCCGATAAACCTGGCGGAGGAGGAGCAACCGGCGAGCGAGTCGAGAAAAGCAACGCTCCTACATCGCCACGTAGTGAACCGGAAATTCAAGACGAAGGTTGCTAGACCGAAAGCTCCCTTCCGTCTCCCCTGTTTTCTTATTCATCAAGGCGATGTCTCTGAATCGCTGTGAATTGTGATTCGGCGCGACTGTTTCTCTCTCTCTCTGCTCCAAATGGTTTTGTTGCCGTTGCTGTTGTTGTTGTGGTGGTGCTACCCTTGAAAACAGTTTGTGGTTGTGGTGCGTGTTTGCTTGGAGTGTGCCTTCGCTGCGTTGGTCCGGTAGATATTCTTCGCCTTCATGACCGGCGGTGGATGTACTGCTACCGTATCGGTGATGTACATCTAAGGCGCGTGAATCTCCTGTGTTATGGGAGTGGCAGCTCGTGACGGCTCCAACGAAGGTCATTCTTTCACGAAGGGAGTTCGGTGCCTCGCCTGGAAGCGGACCTGGTTGTCGGCTTGCAGTGAAAATTCGCACTCCTGCGTGGAGCTCAAAGAGTGCACCTGAGTGTCCTAGCTACTAGCGTGCTGTGGTGGTAAGTGCCGTGAGTTGGGAAAAAAAAAATTGTGGGGCTGGCCGGATCTCATCATTGGCAACGCTGTGGTGTGGTCGTCGTAGTGTCCCCTTTTTCTGGTCAGCTCAAGTGCCCGGGACGTGCTACCAGTCACCGCTGGAGAAGGTCAAGCAACTCTCTCAGGATTGTGCCGGTGGTGTTGTGTGTCGTTTTTTTTTTCTGGGCCTACTATAGGCCAGTGCTGCAGACCAAGTCGTCTTCTGGAAGTCCATCTGGCCACCAGGATTGTAGGTGGCTCGGTGTGTGTGTGTCTGTGTAGTGTGTGCCGTGATCGCACTCGCTCCTCATTCTGCAAACCCTAGAGGTCGTCGGGAGGTCGGCGGTTGAACGTGCACCTCTGCCGGGACGCGAAGTCTGGAGTGTCGCCTGGGCGCCCCGTCCGGCTGCCTAGCGGGTCCCTCGCTCGCGGCGTCTGCAGTCGTGCGCGTGGCAGTTGGCTGCGGCGCTCGCGTGGCTGCTTGTGGAAACAGCGACGGCGGCTCGTGGGGGAACGGGCGTGGCCCCGATGCGGACCGCAAGCCGGCCTGGGGCGCGTCTTCAGCCGGCGGTGTCGCGGCCGCCGATCGGGCTTGGCCTCGTCCGGCTCGCTTGCAGCAGCACCAGCGGCCGGTGTTCACCGGTCGAGTGTTCATGACGGCCGCCGACGCCGGTGGGCCCGGCGGCGGAGCTTTGACGTTCGGCGGCGGGAGAGGCGCCATCATCGACCCGCGTGCCATGGATTTGGACTTGAGCAACCTGACGCTCGCTGAGCGCGAGGCCATTATGCAGGTGCTTCAGCGCGACCAAGCGCTGCGCAAGATGGAGGAGCGCCGGATACTGTGAGTAAACTTTCTGATAACGACGGGAGGTTGAACTAGTCCGCATGTATTTATCATGAAATAAGGTATACTCGTGGGCACACGTGCACGAAAGAAGAGAGATAGACGGTGTTTGGGTTGGCTTGACTCGACTCTTCTGTGTGCAGGTCAGGACACCTAAAGTTTTTGTTATCAAGAGTTATATGTATTTACACGACGACATGTAGGTAATACTGTCGCCCTGTTCACAATATACGCTATGTTGCTCGAAATGAAATATATAGATAAGGTGCAACGTTTACTGTGCAGACTGCACAACAAAAATTAGGGGACTTCGTCTTTAAGTGTTGAACGTGATAGCGACGTCCTGTTCCTACTGCGTACTTCAAACACTTGGTGCATGAAACTTTTTTGAATTCGCTAGGCACCCGCTACATGACCTTAAGGGAATAGATGCAATAGCGTGTGTGTCTTTTGTAGTGGGTTACCGGCTTCCAACCATGGAGCCATTTGATAACAACATATTCTGACGCCCGTTGGCTATGGACGCTTGTACCACGCATTATTACTGCAATATTTAATGTTGCATTGTGCAGCATGTATACAGGACGCGTATGTTTGTGAAGCATGAAAGCTACTTTCACTGCATGTCCAAGTGGAGAAAGCTCTTTTCACTGATTCCACGAGCAGGGGCGTGGCCGTGTGGTAGAACATCCGCTTGCCACGCGAACGACCCAGGTTCAATTCCCCACTTAAGTCCAAACAACCTTGGTGAAGTCCCCATTCTGCTCCAGGATCTTATATCATTTATATTATTTGTGTCGTTCTCGATTTTTCTGGTCACGCATAAAATGATTTTTCGTTCGCAACCAACGACGTCGACACTGGAAGTTCTGCGAAACAAGCTCTTTAACTCTATCGTGTTAATATTTCGTGCTCGATGACGCCAAGCGTCTCCCTTGTGTACTACAATGTAACCCACATCTAACGTGACTACATCATTACCAATCAATCCAATAAAACTTGAACGTTTATACTACTTCGCGAGAGAAGCGTACATTATGTGTATGACGCAAATTCACGGTGTCAATACACTCAATAATAACTTGCATAATTGTGCATTATTCGTAAGCTTTCGTGAGGTCTCCAATACTAATGTGGTACTCACCTGAGACGTCGATAATCCTTTACATAGTCCGCGTTCGTGAAACGCTTATAAGTTGCGTGGCCTACGTATCCGATTGGTGACACCACTAATATCAATAAATGGCCTTCATTTTAGTCGTAATATTGATGAGGGTGGCTTAAAAAAGAAAAGAAAGTGCAGTTTCGTTATGTAGCTTCCTCCTCTCCGTAAAAAAAGTACCTTGGTGATTTATAGCAGCATAAGGAAGCACACATACAAAAAATACGCTTACAGTATTGAAGCTGGAATGAGTGCAAAGAAGATAGAACTCTTCAAACAACAAGATCAACTACAACTCGGGGCATTTTTGCAGCGCCGAAAAAGAAATGTACAGAAACACAGCGAAACTACGTATACACGTCAACAAAACTTGTATTCGTAAATCTTTACATTGTGCCAGGTTTATATTGCGGAGTTGAAACCGCAGAGAGAACTGTAAATAACCTAATTGGGGAGCATTGGAACATGTCTACAACATACAAGCACACTGAGAAAAGGAAGCAGGAAGATGTGACATTTAAGATAGATTCCCACAGTCTCCAAGAGCTTCCACCCTGGACTCGAATGCACTGCCGAAGTGCTTCGTATACCATTTTGGTGTTTCCATATGTCTCACGTATAGTTATAAAGGAGTGCATATATATATTAAGGTTTTCCTATATGACAAACCAACGAAGTTTTCTTCAGATCGTAGCGCAAAGCGCTATATAGAATAAACGTACGGAAAGTAACGCAAAACACCATATAGAATAAACGTATACAGAAAGTGGCCAGAAATGTCTATTGGTGTTAGGAGGACGTCCTAATCAGGGAACATAAGTTCATCAGCAATAAAAGCAACGTTGCGGGAAAGCTATAGCGATGTAATTGGACAAGATCAAGTCACTTCAAGGCGAAGAAATTTCACACGACTATAGGACTCCATATTCGCTAAGGATAGAAAAAAAATTATTACAAACGTTTCGTGCCGTTTCCCATTTTACCCATGCATCTGTGATTAGACTCATTGAACGGTAAGCTTTCCGTCGCGCTAGAAAGAGATAGAGAGAGAAAGGCATCATAACTGTTGGTGGAGGTGGACCTCCGGAAATCCACCTCCATCACGTATGACGTCTGGGCTTAGACCGGGTGTTTCTTTGCCCCGAGAATTCGGCAGCAAACAGGCAGCCTTGAAGCATAGTGCGCGCACACACGATGATGATGATTACACCCGGTGCAGAGGCGGACACAGGCAGACGCATGATGATGATTATGATAATCTACAGATTAAAAACGCATACCAAATGCCCACAATATTTTTCAAAAAATAAACACTAACCTGGGCATTTAGTGAGTAAGAATTTATTTTTTTTATAATAAACTTTTTCGTACAACAGCGTTCTATATGAGATGGTAATATATATGAAATGTTTACTTAAAATACTATACGGTGTGGAACTGTTAGAAGCAATTTGGGGGTGGGGTTATTTAAAGAGTTCCCGTTAAAACCGAACTCAAAGTCGATTTGGAAGTCGCGTCGACTTGAGTTATACGAGAGTGCGCGTGGCCCGTCGAGCGTAATCGCTGCTCGCTCGAATTTCGACAATGAGGACCTCAAAATATCATACGGCGAAATGGATTTTGATTCGGTGTCAAGTAATATAAGCGAGAGACCCCCTGTCGCGCAAAGGCACTGTGCATAACGCGAAAAATGAAATATATATATCTGTACTTTCCGACGGCGTATCGTCTCCCGTTTTCAAATAAGGGTCATTTTCGTTATGCGTGCTTTCCCTATTCGAACGATCTTCTTCGTCGAGCTCATTTACCGCGCGCCGTTGTTGGCGAAGCGAACTGATTGTGTCTTCAATATGCGCCACGAAAAGACTGACAGAACTGAGTTGTGAATCGTTCGTCCTTCGTTTCTTAATTCAAAAGTCTGGCCATGTTTTGTGCCCTCGAGCACGTTTGAATGGGCGCGTTCATCAAGTGGCGTAGGCCGGTTATTATCTGCAATCAGAATTTGATAACCGTCGTCTCTTGCCCTTCAGAGTGCCAAGATTTGTTATGCATACATAAGTACCTTACGGTGCCATGTCGTAATTGAAGGAAGGCTGGCGCGACCCTGAAGTGTTTGAGTTTTTTTTTTTTTTCATTGAAACGCTCTTGAAATCGATGCGCGTCGTCGCATTATACGCTTTGCGTACTACAAGTATTTGATAAGTTAGACGCCTTACTTGTGTAGTCGTTGTCAAAAGTTTGGGGATCCTTTGGGTTTCTCGGGAGTTTGTGACTGTACTCGGTCGGATTTCACAGTACGCACAGCCGCACTCAATACGAGTTACAACAGACTCTCTGCTCTCAAAGTGGCGCCAACATTGGAAAGCGGCACTTACGTATAAAACAATTGGTGAACTGAACTCTGTCGTTCAAGTGTGCTTTTCGAACCAATTTAAACCTTGTAGGAATGCTTTTTCATGCTTAATGGCACTTCAACCTGCAGTCAGTCTGTTGGAACACACATTGAGCGCGACTCTAAATGTCAGCACGTTTCAAAACAGGCTGGAAATGGCATCGAAGGCTGTTTGCCGAGCTATTAAGTATATTCAGCGTTTTTTTCTTCTGTCTCATGGTCTTTTATTATTCTGGCGCTAACTGTGTTTACCTAGCACTCACACTGTGATCGGTATGTTGTCGGTACAGAGTTCTTCATGACTGACCCATATGGGCCGTTATCGAAGCGCCGTCTTTCATCTGGCACGTTTCACTGGCATGCGTGGTTCCGCTCGGGGCCGCGCTTTGTACGTGTACCTGCTTTATGAGCAATTTCGAAGAGACTCTTTGCGACAATGCATTACGGCTGTATGACGTAATGTGCCGTTACCAAGCCGTAATATACGATCGTGACTTTGGGATCTCTTCGTATGAACGGCGATGATCAAATTTCGTGTTTGACGAGGTATTTAACGCTTTCGCTTTAAAATATTGTAAACTACGCGTTAGAGGTGCGTGAATACGTTGTCTTCCCGTTCCAAACATCGGTCGAGCGAATATCGATGTCGAGAGAACGAAGCAGAACACCTTTTTTTTAGAAAAACAACTACTACGACATGGTATTCTATTACTCTGTTTACTGTAAAAAGACAAGAGGTGCATGTATACCTGGTCCATACATGGATATAAGGTTTATACGCCTTCCCGCTTTGTTACGCTTAACCCTGCGTCGCGAGAGTGCTACTGCACGCTTTAGCTAGTTAATTTTTTTTTTATTTTTTATCCGTACGTGCACGCGCTCCCTCTCCTGGCAACCGTGGGTCGATATCAATGAACGACAGAAAGAGCGGAATAGGGCTATGCAGCGAGCTCAACCTCTGGCTCGGTCAGGGTGGCCTGCGAAAGCCATAGGCTCTGGTTTGTGCCATGCTGGGAAGAGCAACAGCGGACGGACAATTTGGAATAGTGCTCGGGGCTATTCTGCTCTTCATCTCCCTTCTTTCTGTTTTTATTTCTTGCTGTTGCTGTTTTTTGTGCTTGCGCCTGTGCGTGCGTGTCTCGGCTTATTTGCATTTTTTCGCGTCGACCTCCCTGGATCTCATTTAGCGCCTGTGGGCTCCTGGCCGGCAAGCAGCCATGGCTTACCGAAGTAGGTGGCTGTCCCCGTTTCACTTTCTTTCTTTCTTTCTTTCTTTCTTTCTTTCTTTCTTTCTTTCTTTCTTTCTTTCTTTCTTTCTTTCTTTCTTACTTACTTTCTTTCTTTCTTTTCCTTTTTTCTTCCTTTCTTTCTTTTTCTTTCTTTTCCATCTCTCTCTCTCTCTTCCTTTGTTTTCATCTGCCGAGCGTGCCCTACCAAGGTGCA